GTTTGGGGTTGACGGATGTCTTTCTCGCAGCATAATCGAGATGATCAAAAGTTACTTTCCCGGTCCACATCTGAACTGAAAAACGACACCGCGTCAAAAAGACGTGATTCAAAATGTTTGCGATAAGTTACTATTAATTAATTGTATATACTTTATTTTTTATGATTTGAATTTTTTAAAGTTAATTCTTAAGTTAATTTATTCTATTACAACAAAAATACCATTGGTCCATAGGGGTCAATAAGAGGGTGAAGAACCAGTTTAACTCAAAGGCGAAAAAGCGCTTGTTGGACACAGCTTGCAAATGGAAGGGTGACTGGATCGTGAAGGGGTATGAGTGTGGAAAACCCACTGCGCTCACCAGGGACGTGTGGGATGGCCTCATCTGTTATTGGCGGGATCCTGACGCCATTAGAGTTGCCGAATCTTGCTATAGCTCCCATCTGACGGTAGATGAGGACGGCAACGGCCCAATGCTTCACTCTTCGGATCAAACACCCCATGCCGGAATCCGTCTGAAGATGGCTATTAAATATTTAATTTAATTATATATATATATATATATATATTTCTAACTTTATTAAATGTTTTTTTAGACCAATCTTTTGGATATTTACGAGAGGATCCACAAGAACAAGGCGGGCCAATTTCTAAATGCTAGATCCGAGCATCTGTTCACTGACTTAGTTGGTCAGGTTGAAGAGCGCCAGACTCAACTAACAAGCAGTCCACCGATAGATCACCCGTCACCTTATCCACATTTGAAGTGGATAAGATTTACGAAGAGTTAATTTTTTTTTATAACAATTTTTTTTAAGGCTGTGCCTAAGAAAAAAGAACATACGTTGGGAATTGGTTCCGTCAACGATGTTCCGAGAGCGACATCGTCATATGGTCAGAGTCGGAAAGATGAAGTCACTCAGCTGCGTAACAAGTTGGACTCGACCCAACGTGCGTTCACAGCTCGTATGGGTGGACTCGAGGGATTCTAGGACGTTATAGCAGCCACAAATCTGAAATGGAATCCCTTGTTGAGGAACATACGACGACAAAATCCCATTCCAGGCAAGTCATCCGGCACACTTAACGAGGAGGATCTAGAGAGGAGGAGTCAGGAGTTCTACCGGGAGGTGATGAACGACTCTTAGTTTTTTTTCTTTTCATTGGTTCTATTATAAATTTAAAACTTATTTATGTATAAAATATTTTCGTGTTGATTTTTATTTTAAATTCTATTTTAGTTTATATTTTAAATTAGTTTTTTCTATTTTTAATTCTGAAAAATAACAATCGAAGTAAATTCGTAGTTAAATTACGTGGAAAGTTTACAAGGAAATAACGAGGAATAACTTTACGTTAACATTACGAGTAAACATTAACGAGTATTTTACATGGAATATTTTACGTGTAATTTACAACGAATAGATTACCTGGTTTTTACGACCAAAGATTACGTGGATTTTACGACGAAAGCTTTATGTCCTTTTTACGATGAAAATATTTCCTCGCTAGTTTACGACGAATTGGCAAGAAAACATGCGTTACGACGGACGATTAACGACAAAACTTGTTTCCTCGTTAATCTGTCGTGAAACCTAGTTTACAACTAACTTACTACGAATTTCGCCGTCGTTAAGCTTGTATTTTCTTGTAGTGGGAAAAATCTCCCTAGTCACCACCGAGTTACTAAAAATGATCCTCGCATCACTTTGTGCCACCACCACCTTTGCCCCTGCCGCTCCCAAACACACCGGCGCTACGCTATGCAAGCTATCACTCAACTTGTTTTCAAGAGAAATAAGATCCAAAAAACTCATAAGGTCAAGCTCCGTACACTTGAGTCTCCCTAAAACAATGAACTAAAAAATGAAAGACCGAAGCTTTAACACAAGATCAACACAAGTTTCTTACTCAATTGCAAGCTGTAATCTCTCAAGTTCGCTCCTCAAAAATTCAATTGTCAGCACTGCAACAACAAAGTCCATGTGAGTAAAAATGATAAGAAACGTTTATGGTAGAAAGGATCACTGCTTATAGATAACATATATACATACCACATCACCATTATTTTGAATAGAACAAAGTATAAATTGTTGTTCATCTGTAGGAGCACTATATCCATCGTTCATATAGATTTGTAACGAAAGAAATTGAGACGTTGACATGGAATCTGGATCCAATGTGAATATCAATTATGGCAGAATTAAAACAAATACCTTGAAGCATGGGGAGGGTGAATAGATAACGAAAGGGAGGCCAAGAGAAGAGTGTATAAAAAGTGGAGACAGCGAGCTTGAGTTTTGAAAGAGAGGACAAGATGGAATCCCTTATAGGGTGATGATTAAACACAGAGTGACCCACATTTTTTATAAAATGCATATGTGGATACTACAAAGTCCATTAAAAAATAAAAAAGAAATCAAATAGAAACCTATTTGAGATAGAAAAAAATAAAAAAAATAAGACTAATCGACATGTAAGCTGTCGGATTCGAATCCACACTTTTGCAGACCAGACACTACACCTTAGACTAATCGACTAAGCTGTAATTTGTTGTTTATAAACATTTTAGCAAGACTATGAACGTTTAAAATAAACGTAGGATCCACAAAAACACTGAAGTGACGCACTAAAAAACCTAGAAATTACCTCTATAGATTTGAAATTGTAACTACTCGTTTCCCCATTTTCCTATACCTTCATCAGTCGCAATGAGTCAGATTCTTATACTTAACTGTTTTTACGCGTTTAAATGACATGTCATTAAAGTATGCTATGGACATTCAAAATTTCCAGGCAAGAACAAACAAATATTCTTTGTTTTTTTTTTGTTATTGGAAAAAAAGTAAAGATAAAGTGACATCGCGGCAGTTCGAGGGAAACAAAAGCGAAATTGGTTGGGGACACTTCGGAAGAATGTTGGACTGATTTTAATTACTATATTTACATTGTATATGTAATTAACAATTGTTTTCACTAACTTAATCTTCTACTCATTCTCAACCTTCTCCCCCCTAGAAGAGGTGGTTTTCACCAACCTTCTTCCCCTTTAGTTAATACTATTTAGTAAGCTAAAATGTTTAATTAATTAACGCTGGGGTCTATGTTCTAAAGTTTTCACAAAATAAATGTACCGAATTCCCTTTTTTTTTTTGCATTAGAGCAGAATAAGATACATCAGAACTTGTCCAAACACCAAATATACACGAATTTTGTTTACACGTTTTCAACGTCATTGATTTAAAAGCTCTTTCAGTGAATCTTTATCATAATACATGACATGAATTGGTTTTACATGTAAGAAGATCATATCCTTCACTTTTCCAAACTATCAATGATTTATTACTGATATATCTACTATATTAAAACAGAGTCATTTTTTTTATCTACTGATACAAGTTGTCATTTAAATTTGGACCCTTTCTAAAATGTTACAAATAATATAAGTCATATAATTGATTGAACCGTATTACTTAAATTAAACCAACACAATTAATGTAAAGAGACGACCTTCATGTAAATTACCTTCAAAATATGGCAGGTATCTATGTGTATACCGAAAACACATATTTTCTCCTACAAATATGGAATGTTCTAAAAGAATATATATCATCAAAATATGGAATATGAAAATCTACTAATTATACTTAAATTAAATCAGTGGTTATTTATGGAATATAGTCTTGGGCTTACTTTTATTTTTTGAACAAATTATATAGTTTGGTTTTTAGGCTTAGTATTAAGAAAAAAACTCTAAAAACATTGAATAAACTTTTCACCTTAAAAGATCAAAAAATCAATTATTATTTTCAGACCCAAAAGGTATTTAATATTTTTAACAAAACAAAATTATCTATTATTAATCATTTATTTAAATCATATACTTTAAAACATGTTAATATATTTTTTATTCTAAATAACAATCACTTTGTTTTGATAAATTTCAATGGTAACTTTTAAATAATTTATTGTTTTATTTTTCTTAAATAATTTACTGATTAAAAAATGTAAAGCAAAACCAAAAACCAAATCTAAAATCTAAAATCTAAAATCCAAAACAAAAAGCTGAAAACACATGTTATATTTTTTTGCTTTGTTTATTTACAAAATAAAATATTTCAATTTTTTAAAAAAATTTGTTGTCATCTTTTTAGTTTTGAATTAGATGTTCGATTATTTGAGATTTATTTGTTGGTAATATTAGTTCAAACTAACTCAGCGGGTTTAAAAATTTAAAACCCAAACCAAAAACTGAAAATGAAAAGTAGAAACTTAAAAACTAAAAACCAAAAACCAAAATCTAAAAATAAAAACTGAAACTAAAAACTAATGAAAAAAAACCATCACCACAAATTTTGGTGAACTGATTTTATATCAAAATATTCTTTTAACTAAGACAAAACCCAATTATATAAATGTTTAGTTATAAAAAATTTCCGCGCTTTTAAGCGCGGATCAAAATCTAGTATATATATATATACAAAGCCTTATCATGTTATTTTTAGCCAATTCTATAGAACAATACAAATCCGCGTGCATCTTAATTAGATAAACCATATAAAATTAAGTATCCTTAGCTGTCCTAGTGATTTGATATTTTTTAGACTAAGAAAAATATTTCCAAAGTTGGTGACATATATACAGGATACTAAATAAACTACTGACTTTCATAACAAAGCAATTAAAACATTTTAAATTAGTATTGGTATATAGCGCACAGTACAGAAGCAGCAGCACTGCCATAAAGAGAGAATCACAAAGAAACTTATGAGTTAAGAAACTTGGCCCTCTCTCTCTCTTCCACCTTCTCAGAACCCTAAGCAAATGTGCATAAACTATTTAAAAACAGAAATCTCACAATATGTGGACACACTCAAATCTTATTTTATTTATATGCACAACTAATATAATTATCAAGCATATACTATATGTATACATGGGTATGTATATATATGTGAATAAAGGTTCTTGCTTTACTCTGCCTTCTCTCTTTCTAAGCTCTCCTCTCCTCTTCTTTTCTCTCTCTCTCTCTAGAGCTTTATCTGCTCAAAAACAAAAAGACAAGAAAAAAGAGAGAAGAGATCATCAAAGAAGAAAGATCAAAGATGGTTTTTTCTTCATTCCCCACTTATTCTGATTCATCAAACTTGCAACAACAAGTAAGTTCTTGATCGATTTAAATAAAAATAAAGAGAGGATTAAACAAATAAGAAAAAGAGAATAATAATATTCTTGTTCCTTTTGTTAATCTTTGTATATTTGTGGTTGGATTTGAATATACTTATAAATTAATTCTTTCTTTCTTTTTCACAAATTCTAAAAACCTTTTTTGAATCATTTCTTGATCCTCTCTTTAGCATCAACCAATCACAACCACCGTTGGATTCACGGGAAACAACAACATCAGCCAGCAATTCCTCCCTCACCATCCCCTCCCACCGCAACCGCAACCACAACAAACGCCTCCACCACCTCACCACAACGGTAACGGTGGAGGAGGTGGTGGTCCCGGTGGACCTGGTGGACTAATCCGGCCAGGTTCGATGGCGGAAAGGGCAAGGCTAGCCAACATACCACTGCCTGAAACAGCCTTAAAATGTCCAAGATGTGACTCAACTAACACCAAATTCTGTTACTTCAACAACTACAATCTCACTCAGCCTCGCCACTTTTGCAAAGCCTGCCGCCGTTACTGGACACGTGGAGGCGCTCTAAGGAGCGTTCCTGTTGGTGGTGGTTGCCGTAGAAACAAAAGAACCAAAAACAGCGGCGGTAGCAGCAGTAGTGGTAACAGTAAGTCACAAGATAGCACCACAAGCAATGACCAATACCAACACCGAGCCATGGCTAATAATCAGATGGGACCACCTTCTTCCTCGAGTTCTCTGAGCTCGTTGCTATCTTCTTACAACGCTGGATTGATCCCCGGACATGATCATAACAACAATAACAACAACATACTTGGACTTGGATCATCTTCGTCTCCTCTTAAGCTCATGCATCCTTTAGACTTCACAGACAACTTCACCTTACAGTACGGCGCCGTGTCAGCTCCTTCTTATCATACAGGCGGTGGAAGCAGCGGCGGAAACGGTGGTGGAGGAACTTCGGCTATGTTGACCAGTTTGGACCAGTGGAGGTTCCCGGCAACACATCACCAACTTCCTTCGGTAGGTGGTTTAGTCAATTCTTCATCTTCCAGGTTATACCCGTTTGATCATCAAAATCAAACGGGTGTGGAGCAGCAGAACCCCGGTTACGGATTCGTCATCGGGTCGGGTCAGTACTTAGCTAAGAACATCTTCCATAACCTTGTTTCCTCATCTTCTTCTGCTTCATCAGCTATGGTTACAGCCACCACGTCGCAATTAGCTTCAGTGAAAATGGAAGATAGTAACAATCAACTCAACATGTCTAGACAACTTTTTGGAAATGAACAAGAGCTTTGGAACATTCATGGGACTGCAGCATCAACAGCAGCGGCAACAACTAGTTCGTGGAGTGATGTCTCTAATAATTTCAGTTCTTCTTCTACTAGCAATATATAATCAGACATCACTCCGAGGATCTAATCTGTCTGATGGCAATACTTTTATTAATTTCTTATTGGTGTGGTATGATCTTATGTACTTAGTTGGAAGTTAGTACATCGATCGATCTTGTAGGTTTCGTTTTGTTTTATTATATTATATTGCAACTACTAGTTTTGGGGTTTTACTTCTTCTTTTTTTGTTTTCTTGGATTCTCTTGGTTGTTTTTCAGATTTAAATTTAGGGTTTCTTCTGTTACAAAATATTATTTTTCATTTAGTATGGTGGTTTGATGAGTTAAGAGGGATCTTGTTGCTCATTATTTTCTCAAAATCCCAAAATAATTTAGATTGCAACACAAAAATCAAAAGTATATCATTCGCCTCGATCGACTATATCTATGAACTTTATCTCTAGCTACAAGAAGGCATAATACCAATAATGCGCTTTGTGCTGGAAATGAGACGGTAGATGTGCAAGTACAGCCCATGAGAAAGAAAGTATCACACATTTGCCATTGTAAATTCTGTCGAAAATTAGTCGAAAAAAAATTGTGTCGAAACTAAAATCAGTTGCTGTATTTAGATCACACTAAGGTTCTGTCATAAGATTTATCTGTTCTGAAATCTGCAGTATATATATATATATATTTAAGTAACGATACACTCCATTACAAAGATATTGATTAAGAATGAATTCTAGTTTAGGCCATTAGTAAGTATTTTATATTTCATTTTAAGCCATATACATCATTACGAAATGTTCTTGCGGTAAGCTTTTTGGGTCTGATGTCTTATAAACAAATTAGAAGACTATTTGTTTTATCTTTATGAGCTTATGAAATCTGTCCAAAGTCCGCATAGTTTTATGATTATTCCATTTTTAAAATTACAGTCTCTTTAACGGAATACTTTAATGAGACTTTTTTGATGATTTTGATGTAAAGCAAAGAAGAATATATTTGAGACTTTATCGACAAGCTATCAATTGAACATATAGGTAAACTAGTACTCGACAACGTAAGTATTTTGAACTAGAATTGCAACTTAACACGCATTACTACGACATTATCATTTTAGTTTCGTTATTGAGTTGTATATGTTGTTTCGAAGTTATAACTGCTAACAGACGATTCTGCAACAATGGGTAAATACATGTTCATGATATATGCACTCAGACACATATAAATAAATATACATATATATATAATAACATAATTTTCTTGTAACATGTGAAGATATATATTGATATCATTTACTAAGATATTAGTTTTAGAACGAGAGTAATGGTAGTACATTTTAATTAAGTGCACTAATCATGGTGATTAGATAATGATATATAGTGTAGAAAACTAGTAGCAAAGGACCCTGATTTCATTATATGCTGCAAAGGAACGTTCTTTGTGATTCCCTAGAAGTGTTTTACCTGTTGGATGTTGCCTTGTTTTAATTATTTAGACTATATACCATACAATATTTGGTTATAATGTCCATAATATACATGACAATTATAATATTGCCGAGTGTGTATATAAATATATGTCTCGACAAAAAAAGAAGTATATAAATATATGTATGTGTAGTGGAGACCAACCCTCCAAATGTATAATTAGATTAATTTGGTACACTGCATGCATGATCTTTGATAAATGATAATGCATATCGGTTTCGATCGTAAACGACAAAACAAGATTAGTCCACACCCAACCAAAAAAGGGGAAGCCTTATAGCGAGGATAACAAGTGGTGGTAAGTTAATATAATCTGTATCAAAATATATAACCTTTTTTTATCGTTTGTACTACTATAAATAACACATATATTTTTATTCAAAAAAAAAAATAACACGTAGATAGACATCTATATACTTTCAACCAAAAAAAAAGATATACATCTACACTAATAATTTGGATTTTTTTCCAGAATTGACTAATAGTTTGGATTTCGTTGTCAATAATGAGTTTAGACTAAGTAGAAGACAACCCTTGGCAGCGTCATTGGAGAAAATGAAAACGTGATCTACACAAACTATGCTTTTGTAGAATATCTTTTAGAACATGAACTTAACAAAAAATTTAATACAAACAGATATATAAGGTAGACCGTACTTTACAAAGTGTAAATTATGCCTTAAGATTATCAGGTAAACTTATTAACCAGAAAAGACACTAAAAATTATAGAAGACGTTGTTTGAATTTAAAATAGCTGGTTGAAATAGAAGTAATATATCTTTCAAACATAATTATATCGAGTGATGACATTGACTTTAATTAGATTTTACATTATCATGTGCGAGGATTAAGGATTTCGACCATACAGTATTTCAGTATCTATGTCTTATCAAAACATGATTTCATTATCATAGCATATTGATGATATTTTTGAAAACAGTACTGAAGTTAGTTAATTAGCAAAACCTCTATAAAATATAATATTTCTTGAAAGAATTCCAGAGAAATAGTAAAAGAGACAGAAATCTAAGGTCGTGACGACGACCGAATCAATGTCGGGAACAATTGAGTAAAGGAAAACACCGACGCGCGTTAGGAGAGAGCAAGACGCTTGTGACTTGCACGGACCACTAGGCGACAAAAGTAACGGTGTCGTCAGGAGAGATGGGACCCATGCGCGACGAACAAGAGATTCGATCTTGTAATTGCACCCGCCCCTATGCATGCGTGAAACTTTGAGCCAAGATAACAACCACAGCAAAATCCCAACTTCTGTGTACTTCTCATTTTTTCTTACATGTGACTGACAACCAAACTCACTATTTTAGCACATCATCAAGTTATTGCTTTTTTTTTAAAATAACTTGCAAACAGACATTTTTTTTTTTCGACGAAAGTTTTAGATTTTATTTGTTCGTACAGTTTGATTTGCTTTATTTACTAAAACATCACTAATTTTCAAAATTATATAACCTTAATTAATTGATCTTATAATCTTAAAATATTAATTATTTATTTTGAAAGAGCATAAATGGGAGATTATCAATAATGATGTCCTTACCCCCAGTACAATTTTACTTTAGATTTCACGTAGTTAATGGTTTCCTTGATGTATTGATTTGAATAAATAACTTATTTACACAGATATTTCACCTCAATCAGACGCATAATAAAAAAAATAATGAGTATGATACCGTGTAATATGAATATGTTATTCTTATTGAAGTCATAGACTTAGTCATAGGCTATGATTAGGAGTCCTAGCGTAGCTAGTAAATTTTGTATAAACCGGTCCATGAAGACGGACCAGCGAATCTGGATTAATGTTAGTCCAAATTCGGATATTATACATAAGTAATTGTTGACGACTATTTTTTCGTATATGAATGTCGTGGAAAAAGATGAAACCCACATATATGTCTTACGGCACATGAAAATCCACCCCATGATGATATATATATGTTTGTGAGGCAAGTTCAAAGTTGCTTAGTGATAAATAGCGTATAGATTATGAGAATCACATATATATTATTTTATTTATTAAGAAACACTTATTAGTTATTATTACTAGAAGCTAGGGCATGGAACCTTCTTCGCTCAGATATGTTCATAGTAAATAATACTATACGTTACTTCATGCCTCCGTGAATAGTTAGTTTTCTGCGAAGATCGTTCTCTCTTTACTGTAATTTCGCAGCTTTTACTTTTCTGATACTAGTTCCTTTGCTGACTGATGTTATTCATTATTTACTAGTGTGACTGAGGTGCAGTGTGTGGTATTTGGACTTGGGAGACTTTAATTGGTAACATAAATAACTGCAAGATATAACGTGACTTTCTTTAGCAGAAAAAAAAAGTTTACTTGACTATTTCTTGGTTTTTGTTTTTTTCCTTTTAAAATAGATTATTATTTATAAATATTTTATGATTATGTTGAGTAGTATTGACATGATTCAAATATTCAAAATATGTGAATATCTGGACTATGACCCATATAGTACATGTGATGAATATTTTGTTGTCCTATCAAATTTTCGAACAAAAATGAAGATTCCATATTAGTCTGTCCTCTCCTCTCTACCAATATATTATTTATTGTTTTCCTTATTACATAAACAAAATAAAACAACGCGGGTCCCTCCAATACTGGGTCCCTCGATCTGGTAGCTTTTTGATATGGCTAAGTAAAATTGTCGACAACTTCCTTAACAATGTTATGCAACTCCTACGCCTACAATTATCATTACCATTGACAAATCTCCCTCTATTTCCTCGTATAATTGGTTTTAATAAAACAATTATGGATCTATACAACTACTAATAAGCATTTGAACTACATAACCATTCTTGTGTTCACATATACTATATGAGTTCTTCGCTTTAGTCAATTTAACACCCTTTTTCTTTCATAAAGGTCAATTAGACTAAAAATATTAATGTTACTCATTTCCAAATTTTAGCTTTCAAGCCAACTCACATGTTTAAATTTATAAAGTTCTGCGAGTCTTATCTATTATTTTGCCAGGCAAAAGCTGTGTTTGTAAACCGGAGAAGATTTTCTTTTTGAAAACGAACGAACCGGAGAAGATAAGATGACCCGAATTTTCTGAGTCACAGAAAATAGTGTTATCTCTCATATTTAGGATGTAAATGAATCAGTTAGCAAACCTTAGATTTTTTCCTTGCCTAAGATATACATACATCATATTAATTTGTCTGTTACCGGTAAAGGAAGTTTTCTTTTTTTTCACTTGTCCCTCTCGTTGCCCACAATCAAGACGGGACTTAGGTTATTCACCACTTTGAGTCTTTTACGTTCAATTGAAAACATATATGACGTCACACTGAATTTATATGTGTGTTATCTGATTGGTACATGCACCAATCATTTTCAAATTTGATTTTTTTTTTATTTGCTTTAATAGCACAAGCCATGCACCTCAAACTGCTTTCCTTTTTAGGTCGACCAATAACTAAGAACCAGATGTAACGCACGTCTGTATACACACATAAGTATACATTACATATTTCATATGTTCCATTTCTTCTCTTTCATTTTTGTTGCAAGTTTTTTTCAGTGGAGACGGGATAGTGACATACGTGGTCACGTGCCCCCATTTATATTTCTTAACAAATACTATGGAGTCTATAGAAGGACCCCCTATATGAACCAAAATTTAGTGAAGAAAAAATATGTGCACACAACTAAATTTGTTCTTAGATTACGCCTCTGTTAGTTCCATGTTTTTTTTACTCAGTGGGGTTAAGAATATATATGATTTTAAGGGGGAGAAAAGAAAGCAAATATTTTATCCACGTATTTAATCCCTAGATTACATTATTCTGCCACTGACAATACTGAAAATGAATCAAATGACTGGAGATTTTTTAAATTATTTTATGTCATATCGATATGAAAATATGTTTTCATTTCGAAATCGGATATGGTATCCGATAAATAGTGGATTGTGACAGATGATATGACGGCCCATGTAAAGTTGCTTGGTCCTTAAGAAAACACACGAGCCTAATTGTAATAATTGTCATCACATCCTTTTACATAATCACATAAAATTAATTTGTGGACGGTAGTTGCTTACTTAACTACTTATTACTTAACCAACACCTTCATCTTTCAAGTACATCAGAATCGATCAAGCAATAATCACTTTAAAATCTCCAAGTAGGCCAGTTGTGGAAGACTATACAATGGGTGTCATATGTTTTTTTTTCGAAAACAGATTGACATAGTTGAACCGGCTAACAAGAAGACAAAGGGCTCATAATGGTTTGGTTTCAACCTTTTAACTAGATTTTGACCCGCGCTTTTAAAGCGCGGATATATTTTTACTATTTTGATAAAAAAATTTTAAATTAATTATTCAAACACAAAAATTTTAAAATTGTTTTATTAATATTTAAAAAAGTTATATTATAATTTTTGATTTTACGTAATGTTTCCATATCCGACCCAGATCTATAGTTGAACCGGTACATCCGACAATTTTTATATAATCCAGTTAAGATTTAATTAAAAATTTACTAATTAAAATTTAATCCAACCCGATATATATCTTAAAACCTGCTATTCTGTATTATGTTATCCGTTGATCCGTTAAATAACCCCATAAAAACTGATAATATATTTTTTAAAATCTGTTAAATAATTCATATTTTTAATATTAAAGAAAATTGTTTTTTTATAGTTTCTTTAATAAAAACTTTCTTGTCATTTGAAAAAATGAAACAATGGCAATAGAAAAAAAAAACACAATTTATTCATATAACCTATGATAAGTTTACATTTTTACTCATTTTATATCTAAAATTTAGTTTTTAAAACAAATTGAATTGACATATCATTATTATGGATTAAATGAAACAGTAAATAATAATTTATAATTTTTGATCGCTAAATAATACGATGCACGGAAATGTGATAATAAAATTAAATAGAAAATCATAATTTTCATAAAAGGAAAATTATTATTAATCACAAAATAGGAAATATTACCAGTTACCATAAATATATGAGATATTAAATTGTTTAATTAATTAAGATTCTAAAAATAAATAGTGGTATTATCTTATAAATATGATAAAAATCTAGGGGTAGAATCCAAAATTTTAACAATAGGATCTTGTTTTAATAGTATAGATTATCTTTACTATAGAAAGATTATCCAGTGAACACATATGCAAAAAAACTCTAGCTAGAAAAGAAAGTTTACAGAAAAAAACAGAACGTAGTTACAGAGCCGGTCCTAGTTTATGTAAGACCATTGCAGAGCCAGTCCTAGTTTATGTAAGACCAGAAGCAAATATAAAAAAGGTGGCCACTTTTCAAAAAGAAAAAAATAAAAAAAAATTGAACCAAAAGAGATTCAAACCCTGGTTATGCTTAACAAGTCTATTTCCCCCAAACTACTAGACTAAATAATTATATTGTTTATTTATGGCCAGATTTTCATAATAAATATGTCGGCCGCAATCAGCTGCTTCTACTGCTTGGCTCAAAGGCCGGCACTGCGTAGTTGCATTGCATCACTTCTTCTTCTCGGTTACACTATCACCGCCAGACCTGCAAAGAAACATAAAACAACGAAACCAAACCAAATGAGCAAGTAATAAATTACCGATTAAACAATCGTACCTAAGCTTAAGAAAAGGTGATTAATTTAGATGCATAACCAAATAATCAATGAATATAATTATAGAAACAGGTCTGTCTCAAATTATCTCTAGATTCTGTCAAAAAATATTAATAGTATATTTATCAATTTGATCAAATAGCTTTAGAATTTATTAACTTATTATGATGTTTTAAAAAATAACTATAAGTTCTAAATTTGTCAATCTATCTAAAATTTTAAAGTTTTTGACCATCTTACAGAGGACACTAGATATCTCCTCCTTGGGGCATGCTTGTGAATACCCAACTTTCGCTTGGCAATTTATAGAGCTTGCTTATCCTTACCAACCTTCAAAGTTGGTTTTATGAAGTATCCGTTCATACAAATATACTAAGATATTCTCACGTGCTCTTTCAGATATTTAAACATTTTAAATAATTAAATGATAATTTTATTATATATAAAGGGGTTTCTCTCTTTTTACACTGCCAAACATGTATTCTCGGCATAACATGTGTCCAACTCTGTTATTTTTCTTTTCTTTTGGGTTTCACGGATGAGCTTCTGCTATTTGTTAGACCATCTCCAACAATAGATCTACCAGTAGAGTTCTAAATTAAATTTTAACTGAAAATAATCAAATTAAAAAATTTAGATACTTGTTTAGTTTTAATTCCTTCAATGATAGAACCAATTAAAGGTTTCCTAAGTATCAAAAATTTTAAATTTGTAATAATAGATTACTTGCATCACATTCTATAATAACAAAACTTATAATTATTGAATTACATAAAATTTAAATTAACTTGACATAAAAACTTGTGGTACAGATTCCTATTTGACCAAAACAGGTGAGCTCATCTTGGTCTCTATCAGATGGCCTGTTCTAAAAAATCATAGGTTTTACTTGTGTTTTTGGCGGAAATGTAAATTAGGATCTAACAAGCTTTTTGTTGAATTTTGAGGTGAGATCATAGAGATACTTACAGAAAATAAGGCAAGGCCATGTTCAAACTGAGCTTTACTATGAAAACTGAGCTTTACTATGGCCGTGATCAGCTGCGCGTTTCATCCACCTGCTAGTTTACGGTTTTGTGGTAATCCTTCTCCAACCGAGTAACAAAGCGAAACATTATACATGGCTCGAACATACCCACCTTCCGCTGCCTTGATGTACCACTTATTCTATCCAAACATGAGAAAAAAAAAATCCAATCACATGAAAGATACTAACGCTTTGTGGATATAAGACAGAAGTCAAAACATTTCCACAAATGAACTAAGGCACATGTCCAAACACAGTATTTTAATCGAGATTGCAGCACCCCCACCACATATAGAAACTCAACTAGACAAAGAAAGAAAGGATCAGAAAAAGAAAGGCACATACAGCTTCAAACATAGCATTATCAAACTCAAAAGGAAGTACGCATATGTCCAAACATAGTATTATCAAACTCCACTCAATGTGTGCAGCCATCAATCAATATACATAAAAAGACGCAACTTTCAATCGATATTGCGGCATCCCCACATGGAAGACAAGTATATATATAGAATCTCAACTAGACAAGAGAGAAGAAGACACATACAACTTCCACCAGATTGGTCTGCACAACACGGCCTTGGTGTAAACAAAGAGCTATCTATTACTGTGCTCTAACATAGCCGTTCTCCAACCACTTCATAGCTTCCTTGGATTCGATGGTTGAGCTGCAGATTAGATACAAACAATTTACTCAAAAAAAAAACTCAACAATTCAAAGTTGAAAGATGGCAACTTTCAATCGACATTGCGGCATCCCCACATGGAAGACATATATATATAGAATCTCAACTAGACAAGAGAGAAGGAAGACACATACAGCTTCTACCAGATTGGTCTGTGCTCTAACATAACCATTCTCTCTAGATTGTTTCAACCACTTCATTTCGATGGTTGAGCTGCAGATAGAGAGGAATCAATTTCCTTATAAAAAAATCAACAATTCGAAGTTCCAATGTTCCAAAAACAAGCCTAATCCACCCTAATTACTTTCTAAACTATTTCTTAAAATTGAATTAATTTGTTACCTTGGAGATAAGAAATCCCCAAATTGCATTGATCTACAGGATCACCGAGCTCCGCGGCTCTCCGGTACAGCCCCACTGCTTTCTCCTTCTCCCAATAGAAAAGCTCCGCATCCATCGTCAGCGTGAAAAGTGACACGTGTTAATTCGTATGAATTTAGAATTGGTTCCAAAACTGCCAATTTTAGAACCATATGTATGCAGTTGTTCAAAAAAAAATATATGCAGTTTTTTTCTTTTTGATTTAATTTTGAGGATAAAATTAGATAGAACCAAAGAATCCCTTATATATTAAAAGAGAAGCATTTTGCATTAAATGCGTTCACATTGTAATTTTAGACAATGCTGACGTGTCGCTTCCAGAATGCTTCTCACAAAAAATATTGCCAAATTCATAAAACAGATTTTCTAAACTTTCTATATTACGTGTCTTGACATATAAAAGACCAACTACGAAAGAAAGCAAAACCCTTTGAAAGCACTCTTGAACTCGATGTTTTGGTTTCTTTGTTAGTGTCAATTTCACCAGGAACTCGAGATGAAAAACCTCGACTTAAGCGGTATAGGAAGCTCGGTGATTGGAGTAGACAGAACACTGAACGAGACTACTCGATGAATTAACAGTAAGGTGTACAAGCTCGTATGGATGGAATCATGTTTCAGCAACTTGGCTGAGTTTCTTTCGCAGCTCCTATCATTGATCTTCTTAAAGATTATGTCAATCGATGAGAAGCCAAGATACCAAAAACTCTTGACATCAGAGTTTTCGTCAACCTTTTTGAACGACATGGTTACAATGAGAAATATTCCTTCACTAAGAAAATTGGGTTCCAGAGCTCTCTCAACGTCTCTGTGAGAATTGCAAGCTCAAGTAGCAACCAATCTCAACCGTACGACGTCAGATAAGAAGCTAGAGATGATAGAGTTGGAGAAATCGTCAAGCAGTTACAGCGAAATTTAAATTGTGATGGAGATCTTGCGACGGGTTCTACGATGCGACTAAGTCAATATTTAAAAAACAGGTTGCCAAGAGAAATGAATTAAACCCATGTATATACATATGCAGATGAGCAAACATATCTAAAGTGTAATGAATTTAACGTATTTATTCATGGTTGTGGGCATACAAACGAACCTTCAAGTGGTTGATTCATATTGACGATGATATTCACGTTAACGTATGTATGCATGGTTTGGATTTACTTTACTTTTTCTTTATAAGTTATATAAAACTTAGACATATTAATAAGTTCATAATAATAGACGATAGGTGTTTAGATGTTTATATGTTTATATGTTTTCTTTTCATCATTTAGAAAAAAAAATCATTTTTAGATATTACAAAATAATAGGAAAAAAAAACGATGGCTGCATGTTGTCGACAGGTGAAATTAAGCCAATAACTATAACTATATAATCCTAACCATATTACAAAGTCAAAATGATTTAGTCTAAACCAACATATAAAATTGATTTAGTCTAAACTAATTCGACATATTTATAATTGCCCTTTTGAAATGTATGTTAATAATATTAAACAAATATTTAGTTAATTAAATAGATGACTTTTAGTTGAGTGGGAAGTTTATATAAGCTACCAAATCATATTCAAACAGAAAATGTATATAGAAAATATTAAATGTAGTCGGTTAGGTAAGGTAATACAAAGCCTGCCTAGGAATTTTTACTTTAGACTAAAGATTTTAAACCTTGCGTATAAAGTTTAATAATTAGTTTTGTTACCTTATATGTGCTGTCAATATTTATATTATCAACATATTCTCTTTTAGTTTGTGATATTGGAAAGTTATATTAATACAATCTATCGAATAGTTATTACATGGAACTATCAATACTGAAACAAGATTAGTATTTAAAGTCTTTGTCTATGATCAATAGAGCACACATACCCGAATAAACTCAAAACTCTTCTCTCTTTTGTTTCAATGGCATCATTAACACATCTTCTGCACTTAAACCTTTCAAATCGATGTGAAAATCAAGATTAAGGTAATCCAACTTTATAAGCAGTTCTCAGCCGCAGGTGGTCTCACTATTTAATGATCCTCATCGATGCAAATGTAAGTAACCTTATTAGTGACCTACGCCACTGTAAGCATATAAACAAATGAATACAATGATACATGCATGACACGGTATAATATGAATATTTTCTAACTTTAGTTCTATATGCGACAAAGATCTAACATTAATTTAATTTGTTGACTCATTCTTAAATAGGGTGATAAGATTCACGCAAGTTTAGAAAACGATTTGGTGAAGATTTGGTGAACCAGTTTAATCTTTTCCTGGCTAGATGCAGATTTACAAATGTCAAACTTCTCTTTGATTCGGGCGAAACATCTTTACAAGATAAACATCATATCATCAACCGCGTGAGAAACTCTGAATATTTACCAAGAGCAACGCAACCAGTCAATTAGAGAACCATTCTAGATGGAACTTCAGTTTGATTACTTGATTGGTAAGTAACTAAATTCTTAAATAATCTATGTCAACTACCATGGTTCCCAAAGTTTTGTATTTTAATCTTACAGATGTAATCAGATATATCGTGGAGGTGACACATCTTGAAGTTGTGTAGTCAATGGGAAAGAAACAAACAAAATTTGGATTGAATTGTGCAATATTTAGTACAATTAGTTTGCTTAGTTACCTTAGAGCTTTATATACTTAGAAAGAGCTTAGGGATGTCGACTCCCATTTGTGTTATGGAGTAAGTTTGCTTCAGATGTTAAAAAAGCTATCTAGCTTTGTGGTCAACATTTAGTACTATGTGTCATGAGGTTTAGAAAAATTAAAATTTGAAAAGGTGAATATTTTTATTTATGTACATTTATATACATACATACATATATATATATATATATATTGAATATACTTTTATGTATATTAGTGAATCAAATTATGTTGTTATTTTTGATAAATTTTACAAGAACATGTATATTTACATCGTGGTATAAGAAAATTATAAGAAATTGTACATATATATGTAAGAAAATGTAACTTAGTAGTAATAATTATACATAAAATACAAAATAGGCTTCATATACATACAAAAACGTCTCAGACTATTTTTTAGTATATATTAACAAACTACCCCAAAAAAAACCATAAATTTATAATCTAATAATCTAAATTTTGAAGTGTAATTTTATATATATGATATAAAACCAATTGCTTTTTTTTGATCAAATGTAGACACATATAGAAATGTTAACTCAAAATAAAAATAAACGTCCTAAATTTTTTTACGTCCCGTAAATGTAAACTATATATCTTTTAACAAAATTATTATAACTTCATAAATTTCTAACCTATATTTATTAAATATTTCATTCCGCGTAAGGTGCGGGTTATTCCGAAACAACCAATCCAAAACAAACTAATATGCAAATAAAACAGATATAATATCTTCTTATCTTTAAAAATACAACAAATTTAATCATCTCATCCCGCGCAAGGCGCGGGTCTAATCCTAGTGGAACCTTATTAGATACTCCATTGGAGCTGGTCTTAAATGAGTTATTTGTATTATTATGAGTCCAACAAATATCGTCATCTTGCTTTTTCTCCTCCCAACTAAACTGAAACGAGTAAGGATAGACCCCATAACATCCACATCACTTGATTAAATTCTAGACACTTTGTTTCTGTCAAAAAATTCAAATGATTACACCTAATCCTACGATTTCGGTCACTCCAGAAAATCGGTTAAGTTATTGGTGCTCTGTATTTTTTTTAAATTGAGAAAAAAGTATAGAGTTGAACCAAACATAAAAAAATTGTCACTTTATGTCGATGTCTTGATGAAGTGTGAATCATCCCAGTTTATCAAGTAAAAAAAAAGAGAAGAGGAAAATAAAAGAAACAAATTACATCTATTAACTGAAGTAGTAAATAATATGAATCGAGGGAGGAAAAAAAGGTAGGAGAGCAAGATGAAACAGAATTAGATGGAGAAGGCGACTAGGTGATGTAGAAAAAAATGTGATGAAGTGATGAAGAAAAAGACGCGGTGAGATGGTGAAATGAAGATTGAAGTCTTTATAGTAAACTGAGAATAAATTGCAAAGATATATATATATATATATATATATATATAGTTTAGTTATCCATTTGTTTTATGCACCAAATAAAATTGAAGTCTTTTTTATTTGTCAACAATTCAAGTCCGTTAATAACCCAACAACTAAAGTTAATTAATATAAAAATATGGATATTGGATCCAAAAAAGCTCAATAATGTATTCACATACAAATCACACTGGAAAAAAAATCTTACTAGACGCCTAAAAAACATGACATCAATTTAAAAACAATACATCAAGTGATTTATTATTTTCAAACCATAAACTTTGAATGCATCATAATTTTTTAAGAATAACCTAACTGATAAATGTAGTTATACTACTACAACTATATCAAAATTTAAATTCAACCTGGATGTACAGCATAATATATATATATAATTTTCATCACTCTAAAGATACTAACTACTTCACTAAATCACTTCCTAAAAACATGACAGTTCATTCTCTTAAGAATGTGTCTTCGACAAGTTAGGTAAAGTTAGCCTCCGACACATTGGGCTGTCTTGTTTCATTGGGCCAAAAATTAATCTTCTGCTCGCTCTGTAAAGCCATCTCTTTGTCGTATCGATTGGTATTCAACCAATGTCCAGAGGCGTATCAGTTTACTCTTGCATTCAGTTAACCTAATAAAAATTTTCATTAACACCATTGAATCATCGTCTTCGACTACGCTGCATTCAATACACCCCACCTTCTATGGTTGTGAGTCTGTACCTATAAATAACGAAGTAAGCTTCGTGAAATTCATAGTTTTCTCCCTCTCAGTCATTATAATCATCCAAAAGACAAACACCAGAAATGGAATACAAAATGACTAGATTCTTCTAATTTGAAGGGAGACAAGATAAGAACACTCGAAAATATTTCCTTTGTTGAACAGCAAACCGGTTTGTTTCCGGGTCATCTGAAAATAACGTCAGTTCATAAAATATATGCATCATGAAAACTAATCTGTACTAGGCAACAATCTCATTGTTGAAAGGATCAGGATTTTTTACCTTGTA